GGGGGGGGAAAGTTTGCCAATCTCTTTTGGGTCTCCTAGTGAAGTCGGAGTTGTTTCGGTTTAAAAAAACAACCACGACAACAACCCAGAAAAATAAATGTATACATTTCCCGAAGCCTGGATAAGTGATGTAATGACATTTGTCGAGTTAAGCAGCTGCCACTTGGATACTCCCTCTGCCTTGCCAGCACGCCGGCAGTCTTTCGGCGTTCTGGGGCTCTCTCTCTCTCTCTCTCTTCCTCTCCCACCCTCCCTTCCTATGTCCCCCCCCTTCTCCCCTCTCCTCCTCCCTCCCCTCCAGCACTGTGAAGCCCGCCCCCTCGGAAGCCAGCGGCGGCTTCCAGCTCTCGCCATTACCTGTCATCTCGCTGGGCTCGGACGGTGCACTTCCTTCCTCCGTGGCACTTTCCACGAGCAGCTTCCTTCGCCTTCCGAGCCAAGACTCCACTCGCTTCCAATGTGTGACTCCACCGCCAATGACGCCTACTGTACACCCACCTGCCCCCCGGCTCACCCTACTTGCGCGCGGCCCACAATTCCCGCGCGCGTGGAATGCACCGCGCCACTCATCCTTCAGCTTCGTGGAAACCCCGATCCCTTTAAGGGCCACTTTCTAGAAGCAGTGGCCTCGGCTTGGAAAACATGTGCCCAGAGAAACCCACGATGCCAGGGCGCTGGAATCCCCCCCCCCCCGTCTCATGGGGTGGGGGCGGGGTGCCTCCCCTCCCCTCCAGGCCTACATAGAGGATTCATACTTCCTTTTGTTAAACATATATTTGTTTTTTTATTTTGAGTGTGACACTTCTCCACTAGATAGCAAGGAAAAGTGGTAACAATTACACATTACACAAAAGTACTGTACCATTGCCTTTATCGTGAAGGTTTCGGAAGCCTCTACAGTTAATAAGTTAAATAAAGGGCTCGAGTACATAAATATTTGTCTAGGAACCCTACTGTATCTACAACACATTAAGAATCTACGGGAGGACAAACTTTTACCATACCACGCTGAGTGCAATTGCGTTATAACATTTCAAATATACAAAGCTCTGTTCTTTTTTTTTTTAATAACAATGGTATGTACAGAATCAATAATCACAGTTTGGTGACTTCAACAGTCCATATTCTAGCAGAGTATTTCCCTTTGGTTTGATATAAAAACCTTGGTTGGTGTATGATAAAGAAGAGAACAAGAACAAGACGCCCCTTTTGCTTTAAGTGCACTGTTAGCTATCTTACAGACTTGCGTTCGCTTTCCCGCTTGGCCGGCCCTGTGGCTTCGCGCCGGGCCGCGCTGGGGAGATCAACTTAGAGCGCCCAAATGCTATTGAGAAAAGAAGAAGAAGAAGAAGCAAAAAGAAAACAAAAAGGGGGTGGGGGAAGCTAGGTGGGGTGTCAGAAGGAAAAGTAGTGAGGCTTTTTAATGGGTTTTTTTTTCTTTTTGACTTCAATACCAGGCGTCTGGGGGAGAAAAGCTCCCCCCCATCCCCAATGTTTGCAGTAAAGTAAGAATGGGAGCGAGTGGACGCTGGAGTTGGAGCGAAGTTGACCGGGGCGGGGGCGGGGCGGGGGGGAG